TCTGAAAAATGGCAGATAAAATTCAATGTGGACAAATGTATAGTACTCAGTATAGATGTAAACAGGGAAACCAGATACCAGATGAACAACGATGTTATTGAGAAATCCGACCGCGAGAGAGATTTAGGAGTAACGATAAGTAGGAATCTTAAGCCAAGTAAACAATGTGTATTTTCTCGAAACAAAGATAATAAAGTACTTGGGTTCATACAAAGGGGTGTTAGTTACAAGACTAGCGAGGTCATCTTAAAACTATATCTTGTGCTTGTGAGACCTCCCTTGGATTACGCAGTTCAATTCTGGTCACCGTATTACAGAATGGATATAGAATCCTTGGAAAGAATTCAGAAGAGAATGACAAGACTAATCCCGGGCAATAGGAACCTTGAGTAGAGAGACAGGTTAAAGCAACTTAATTTGCACTCCCTCTATTGACATAGAGTGAGGGGCGATATGATAGAGATGTATAAATGGAAGTTAGGGTTTAATCAAAATGGACATAACAAAAATACTCAAACTATCCAACCAGGAGCGAACTCGTAACAATGGTTTTAAATTAGACAAATTTAGATTTAGGCGCGAAATAGGTAAACATTGGTTTGGAAATAGAGTAGTGGATGAGTGGAACAAGTTACCAAACATCATCATTAACTCGAATACGCTGGATAGCTTCAAACTTAGGTTGGATGGATATATGAGCAATAGGGGCTGGGTGTAAATGGGACTGCCCAGTATGGGTCAATAGGCCCGCTGCAGTTTCCTCCATTCTTATGTTCTCATGTTGACGGAAGTGAACCTTTTTGGGGGGTAGGGTCGCGTGGTTCGTCTTCCCCCCTCTTCCTCGCTCGAGCGTGGCTAATTGTGATAGGGAGATGAATTTGATACCATAGTGATACTTAATAAATTCTCTACCAAGCTTTACCAATAAGATATCCTTAAACGAAATATTTATATATGATAAATTGATGGGAAATCCATTCTTTTATATATATATATATATATATATATATATATATATATATATATATATATATATATATATATATATATATATATATATATATATATATATATATATATATATATATATAACGTAATAAAAAGCTCTACATGATACGGGCTGTGTTACTTTTATCCTCTTCACCATGATCGCCTCGTTAAGGCCGATAAAGGCCGATTCACACTACCCGTTTCTGTTCTGACCGTCAGGCCGTCGGCTAGACGCCGTCAACATTTCTTAAATGCATTTTAATGTAACTGTTCACACGACCCGTCATGCTGACGGCGGCAGGCGGCCGACAGCCGACCGACACGTCGCGGATTTCTTCTCGAGAAATCCTGGCCGGTTTGACGGCGGCAACTGCTAGTCTTTCTTTTGGGATACTGCTTCTCGGAGGTTGGCGTTCATCTTTGCCAGGTCCATTTCGATTTTTTCTAGTTAATAATTAAACTTAGCCTTGGATATTCTGAAGTATTGGTAGAATTTTGCTTCATCATCTGCCAGTTCTTTATAGAGGGTCCAGAATTCTCCCTCGCACTTTCTCTTTTTCAGTGACTGATGTACCCATAACCTTTTCCTCTTTCCACGAACTTTTTCTTCCTCCTCTTCTTCTAGTAAAAGAGCAATTGCAGCCAAATTCTTAAGAGACCGACCGGCCATGATCCTCAAACAACAAGAGTTATGTAAGCACTGAATGACGGTATCGGACGGACCGAGAACGTGTCGTGTGTCGCTTGGGCGATCTGTCACGTCTCTGTTACACACTTCACTCAATTGACTGTAATACTTAACTAATCATGTCTTAACACTTGCGATGAAGGTTGGGTAGGAGATATAACTTGCATTGCTGTAATTCTTGTAAGATAGCGATTAATTTATGTATAAACATCCCATATTTTGTACCCCCCCTCCACACACACACACACACACACACACACACACACACTACACAGACACACACAGACACACACAACACACACACACACACACACACACACTACAAACAACACACACACACACACACACACACACACACATCCTTGACCACCGAAGGGTCAAGACGTACCTGGCGCTCCTCTCGGAGCAGCCAGGTCAACTGTTAAGTTGGCCCATACCAACCCCCTCCCCTGAACCCTCCTCCCCACCGGAATATCAACAAGTTCTCGCCAGAAGTTACAATTTCATTTAGGAAAGGAACGGAACCAGTGTTAAACAGAGGTGAACAGTGGTGAACAGTGCTTAAGTCAGTGAGAACAACTCAACAGTAACAGTCGCACCCAAGTTAACCTTCACACAGTGAGGTCCCAGGTACCCAGTGATAACGGCCCGTGAGACCCAACAACAACCAGAGATGTGTTAATCCGTCTACGATAGGAAGGCCTAAGACCAAACCTCACTCATATAACACCATCTGTGAGGGAATTACTACACCACATGTCCCTCATAACACCATATGTGAGGGAATTACTACACCACGTCAAGTCCCTCATCACACCATCTGTGAGGGAATTACTACACCACGTGAGGTCCCTCATAACACCATCTGTGAGGGAATTACTACACCACGTCAGGTCCCTCATAACACCATCTGTGAGGGAATTACTACACCACGTGATGCCCCTCATAACACCATCTGTGAGGGAATTACTACACCACGTGATGCCCCTCATAACACCATCTGTGAGGGAGTTACTACACCACGTGAGGTCCCTCATAACACCATCTGTGAGGGAATTACTACACCACGTGAGGCCCCTCATAACACCATCTGCGAGGGAATTACTACACCACGCCAGGTCCCTCATAACACCATCTGAGGGAACTACTACACCACGTGAGTTCCTCCTAACACCATCTGGGAGGGAGTTACTACACTACGAGTTTGCTGTTCAACACCTACATTAATCTGTATGTTCACTGTATGTTCCTTTACCTTTCTCTAATGAAGGCTTTTGTTAAACCACCAATGTATGTAATAAGTCATTTATGTCCAATGTATATTTTCAGCCTTCGGGCTGCAGAATTTTTTCAATAAACCGTTAATTATTATTATCATTATTATTATTATTATTACACACACACTACACACACACTGCGCACACACACACACACACACACACACACACACACACACACACACAGTCAGGTCAGCCGCCGCTAGCGTTGTTACCATATGTGAGGCTTGGCAAATTGTGCCTGAAACGTGTCATATTGAGGGATATCAACTCTTTCATCACCTTCGTTCACATGGACGCGGAGGAGGCGTTGCCCTCTTCTGTCAAGATGACCTACGCCCACCACGCCTGGATGTTCAAGTCCCAGCAGATGTGGAAGCATTATGGGTACATGTTGTGCCACGGACCCAACCTCGCCACACTGCTTCTATCATAATTTGTGTGTCATACCATCCGCCTCGCTCACCCACCAGAGACACTCTTATCAATCATCTCATTACTACCTCAGACCACCTAAGAGTTAGGTACCCATGTGCCAAGTTAGTATTATGCTGGGATTATAATGAAATTGACACCACTGATATCCAGGACCAGCTGTCACTCTCACAAGTTGTGAAATTCTCCACACACGGTCAAAATACCCTTGACCAGTACCAACCACCTCAACCAATGCCTCCTATCGGGTGTAGCACACACCTATTTTTGATCGCTGTACATAGGCTAGAGTTGTTTTTCTGTGATCCACTGAACATTCGTGTTCCCCAAGAGCTCTGCTGGTGTGTGCCCAGTCATTGAAACCATCCGCAAATGGTGAACTTGTAGATATACTAGAGAAGAGCAAACATGTGAAACAGTAGAGTTTACCTTGTGATTTAGAGAAGAGCAACTATTCTCTCTTTACTGATTCGCCATTACCCAAAGTTCTGAAGAATGCAGGCTTAGAGAGGAAACGGCGTTTCTGATGCTCACCTGAACCATACGTTCTTAATGCTCCTTTAAACTCAGAGTTATGATGCTGACAAGTATCTGGCCCAGCCTTTGACCAGTAAATTTGAAGTTCCTGTGATATTGGTCTTCTCCATTTCCCAAGATCAGTTTCAATGTACTCAATATCATGCCGTTTAATTTCATCACTTTTCTATGATTGGTCAGTTGTATGTGTAGCAGACGAGGTACTACAGCCAGGTACTCCAGCCCGGACCTACGGCCTAGAAAACAGTGCGTTAATGTTCGAAATAAGGCAAACAGAGTATTAGGTTTTATATCTAGAAGTGTAAGTAATAAGAGTGCAGAGGTCTTATTGCAACTATATCTTGCGCTAGTCAGGCCGCACCTCGATTATGCGGTTCAGTTCTGGTGCCCTTATTATAAAATGGATATCAATTCACTGGAGTCGGTGCAGCAAAGAATGACGAAAATGATTCCGGGACTTAGAAACCTTCCATATCAAGATAGGTTAAAGAAACTAAACTTGCATTCCCTAGAAAGACGAAGAGTGCGGGGAGATGTGATAGAAGTATTTAAGTGGGTGAAAGGAATCAATAAAGGCGATATAGATAAAGTTCTTATAATATCCGAGCAGGATAGGACTCGTAGCAACGGATTTAAGTTGGATAAGTTTAGGTTTAGGAGGGAGATAGGAAGAAACTGGTTCACAAATAGGGTGGTGGACGAGTGAAACAAGCTTAGCAACTTTGTAGTAAGTGCTGAAACGCTGGAAAGTTTTAAAGGAGGCTAGATAGATTCATGGATGATAGAGAGTGGTAGTAACTCTCGACAGGAGCTGCCACGCACAGGCCAACCGGCCTATTGCAGGCTCTTTATTTTCTTATGTTCTTATGTAAGTCCTCTCCGTCTAGTTGGTCAGTTGTAGGTGTAACATCAGCAGACGAGGTACTACATCCAGGTGCGTTGGTAATGTAGTTATTAGTGTTTACATATCTTTTCCCCAGAAGTATATTAAATGTGTATACTGTACTTGTAGTAACTAATACATTTTTTTTGCACAACTATTATTCTAACAAGCATGGTTTATATCTCTTCAGTACAGTTACCTGCGGAGTCTTGTAGGTGATTCCTCAGTTTCCGTCTTTCTGGACTTAGAATGGGGAGATGTGACACAAGGACAAGTTCATATCCGATTAGATGCTACTTCTGGACGTGGTCAGCAGTTCCTGGAATTGTGCACAGGAGAAAGGGGCCCATCTTACATCGACACCAAGTTCTTGAGTGTTGGTAACAGGGGTAACCCTGGAGAGTTCATCATTGGTGGTGACTATGAGCACAATGATGGAACTGGTGGTGCTGCCGTATTGTCAGGCCTGGATCATAGTGAAGGGATCCCACGAAATATTGTTGTAGGACTAGTTTCAGGTCATAACCATGGCAACAAGAGCAGCCAGTTTCTTATCTATACAAAAGACCTTCCAGGAAGTTCAGATTGTATGAGTTTTGGCAAAGTCAAAGTTGGCATGGATGTTCTGTTGGCAGTTGTTGGATTAAGCAACCCACAGGATGTAAAAGTAAAAGACTGTGGAGTGTTTGTGTCATTGTAACTCCTGTTGTCTTATGTAATTGAAATATAATGTACCACATTCAAGAACAGTTTGGTTATTAATGTTAATTGATACAGTAACTTGTTTTTGATGCATGGTGATAGTTCTTATGACATATATTATTGGTTATATCATTTGTAAGCTCATTCCTTGAAAATAAATACAAAATTAATATTCTGTTAGATTATAAGATACAAACATGCTTCACATCAATTAACTAATTATTTATTACAAAGTTGTCCACTGGTAATTATTTGTTTCAGCACACCATCGAATTTTTCTCGAGATGTTTGATTTCTGATGTGTTTTGTTCAGATCTGACCTTCATTTCCATTGGGAAATGCGTCGTGTTTTTTGTTTTTTTAAGATGCAAGTCATTCTTGATCAAAAACGGCTATTTTCCATCAAAAACGAAGGTGAGATCTGAACAAAATACATCCAAATACATCAGAAACCAGACATCTAGACCCCTAACTTTTACTTAATTAACCTACCTTAACCTAACCTAACTTAACCTCACCTAACCCTTGCGGGGGGCCCTAAACCCTGCGGAAGTGAGCGGAGGCAGGCAGTTTGACACGCCTCATGTCTCCAGACAGCTCGGGTGGGACAAGAAATGGCGGGTGGAGGTTTATTGATCTAATTTCTTAGGCGTTCCTGACTTGTGCGATTTTTCTGAAAGAAATATGTTTCCAAGAGGCTTTAAGGGCTGAGGAATGTATATATCAGGTAGAAATTGCCAAAAAAGTAAGTGCTTCTTTGTGATTTGAAGATGTGCTAAACCGAATAATAACCTGTCCTCTTAATAAGATTACACGACCAATAATTCCTCTTCGTCTAACTCTTTCGTTCTTCAGTTTACATTGGTGGGCAATGTTTATAAGATATGGTCTAGAAGGGGCCACCATCTGCACTTCAGTGTTAGTACCCTTCTGTTGGGGGGCATCAGGTTCAAACTTTGTTTATCAGGGGGTTTGTTGTCTTAATTAACTCGTGATTTCTTGTGACTAGCAATTGTTTTCTATAAATGGACATGTTTGATGAATTGTAGTGTGTAGCAATTCTCGGAGAGGTTGCTCTGCATTTTATTTATTTTATTTATTTATTTTTTTAGCATGTTATCAGTGCTTTTTTTGGTGTGCCGGTTGAGTCTTAAAGTTTGCTGGTTCATTCCTGGTGCAGCCCCCAGTTAACCCAGCTGTGGTAATGTTTAACTTCACAGTTGGAGAAGTGAAGGCAGTTGAGTGCATTGCTGGCTATACTGCCTCCTTGTGTACTGAAGGCCTACAGCAGCATGTTTATCTACACTACTCCTGATAGACTGTCAAGGCCTAATGAACCTGCTTTCAAGTGGTATTGTTTTCTTATGCAAGGTCCAAGTCTTTAATAATAATACCCCGAAGAGTTTGTATGACAATTTTCATTATTCTCTAACAAAAGTTGTCGTGGTTTATATTGTAATGTCAAGGTGTGGATGTTAAATAAGGTTATATTATATTATATTGTGTTCGATACCTCCACACTAGTTACTTACAGGAGATTATCTACGTAGAAATTCACTCCACCACCCTACATTCCATGATTTATACTTGATAAATGATGATTTAATGAGTTCCATTAATTTCCAACATCCATCTAAGTTATTGGTTATACTTTGTCATAACCAATCAATCATAACCTTTAGTAATAATAAGATAGGATCACGGACAGATAATTGCGCTTACATTTATTTGGCAAGCTTCCATACAATGATTTACAATTTGCATGGATATATGAGTCACTTACATTCACGCTGTAATAAAATTAATCTTCCAAAAAAGGGAATTTTCAACTTGGGGACACATATGATTACTTTACTATGAGTATGACTTAACAGAGCCTAAAGTCTTCAAGTGATACATTTACTGCCAGCCTGAATTGCTCTTGTTGCAACCCGGCTTCTGCAAGAACTTCTTTCCACGGGGAATAACAACAAAAAGGTACTCTTGGGATACCACACATAGTCTCGCGTCACTGACAGACACAGTAGATGGTTGTCGCCCAAGGAGAACTGGTAAGCATGACTTGATTAACCACTTAGGTTCAATAGGCCAGCCTGGATTGCTTTTGTTGCAACCAGGCTTCCACACGTGATTTTTCCACGGGAATACAAACCTAGATGAACACACTTAATCTCGTGTCGATCACGGTCACTGTAGACGGGTGTCGAGCAGGAGAACAGGCAAATGTAGTACCCATATTCAAAAAGGGAGACAGAGCATCAGCGTCAAATTACCGGCCGATCAGTTTGACGTCAGTAGTGGGGAAATTTCTTGAATCAATTATAGCAGATAACATCCGATCGCATTTAGAGAAAAGCAAATTAATCTACGACTCTCAACATGGGTTTACAAAGGGAAAATCTTGTCTAACAAATCTGCTGACATTTTTTAGGAAACTCTTCGAGGTAGTAGATGTATGTATATTATGTATGCTGGATTATGTATTATGTATGTATATTATGTATGTGCTCCATTTATATTTATTCAGCCTAGCTAGCAGCGTGTGGCAATGTTATTACCATATCCCACACGCTTAATTAATGTGCCTGGCGACGTATGGAAGCTGCTAATGTATCACTTGCCATACGTCGTCTATGGTAGTTGACCAGGACCTTAGCTAGGGAGCAGTGCTATCCACCTCTGTGTACATACTCTTATCCAGTAAACCGAACCTACAAAACTATACAGGTGTTTGTGTTCTCTCCTGTATATAGAACTTATTACCCAGAACATCTAACATGGCGCAGTGCGTAGTTTTACTGGATTATTACGAGTGATTAGTGCAAGTTTGTGGAAAGCCGGCTGATGGATCCCCGCCTTGGGTCAACCCCGCGTCATCCCTCGAAGAATTTCGCAACTTTGAGCAGTGTCAGTGACAGTGATTTTCTGTGAAGTGTTTAGTGCATTGTGTGTTTCGTGCCATTCATGTGTGACCTTGTTCGAACGGATTTCCAAGGTATACGGCATGTTCTGGGCATTTGTGGGGTGTAGAGCTCAGCGCACCCTCCTCTGACCGTTTACAGAGAGCGACTGAGCTACTCCTATCTCCACCCCCCTCCCTCACAGCGCCGCCTCCACCCCCCCTCACAGCTGGGGCGAGACGCTCTGCCTGCCTGGGACACACACACATACATGTACTAACACTTGCTGACCGCGCGGCTTTCTTATATATATTTTATATATATAACCTACTTATCTGTGTATTTAATTAAATTTTTTGTCTGAAATCTTGTTGATACGACGGGCTGACCGGTCAACACTGATTTAAGACACAGTACACAGATAAAGTAGTTATGTCTCATGCCTTACGTAGCCGTGGACCCAGCGCCTGGATGAGTCAAGCGGATGATAGTCCCCCAGAGATGGATGACCAGGCCGGCCCAGCTCCCACAACATCGCGCAGCCCTTCACCTCAACATTCAGCGTTATCTCCAGAGATAATTGCCTTAATGAAGTTTATGAGAGATGAGAGACGCGAGGATGAAGCTCACAGACGTTTGGCGGATGAGCACAGAAGGCAAGCAGAGGCAGAACGAGACCACCAACGGAGAATGGAAGACAGTGCACGGTTTGAAGCCTTGATATCTCGCCTCACTGTTAACCAAGCCCCTGGCTCTAACACTGCCTCGGTACTGAATGGTTCAGATACCTCATCCATGCTTCCTTCACGCCCCCCAGCCCCACCTAAAGCAGCAGCTCAAACGCCGCCCATCTTGGAGCCTGATGTAAATTTCCAGACTTTTCGCGAATGGCGGCGGCGGTGGGCTGATTATGCTACAATGGTGGATCTCCAGAGTTTGTCACAGCCTAAACAACTCATCCAGCTGCGTATGTGCCTGTCCTTGGAAGTTCAGCGTGTCTTAGAACATACGTTGCAGGTACCCCCAACCTCTTCGCTGTCTGTAGAGGAGGTACTGGACGTTCTACAACGGCACATCAAAGGACAGCAGAATGAAGCTCTGCGCAGGAGGGAATTGTTTAGCTGCAGACAGATGGAGGGTGAGTCTTTTGACGCTTTTTATGTACGTCTTAAGAGAGCCTCGGAAGAGGTAGATATATGTTTAGGCCACCACCAGCAGTGCGAGGAGACCCAGTTGAAGCAGGTGATCCTGATGGGTGTTAAGGACGAGGAACTTGTCCAACGCCTCACCTCCCTCGACTCTTCCTCTTCTCTTCAGGATGTGTTGACGATATGTCGCTCCTATGAGGCTGCCAGGTGTGCCACCTCTGCCATCCGAGCTCCCCCTACAGCTGTACGCGCTGTGTCCCGGTACAAGAAGGACAAGAAGTCTGCTCCTACGCCTTCGCCCACCACGTCCACGCCCGGTTCATTTTGTAACAACTGTGGTAAGCAGCACGGAACACAGGTGTGTCCAGCTGCTCAGTCTACCTGCAACAGTTGTGACCGTATGGGCCACTGGTCGCTCACAGTGCGGTGCCCAGCTAAGTACGTACAGTGCAATGTGTGCGGTCGTCTGGGCCACTATGACAAGTGTTGCCCTACCCACGAACCCAAGGGACAGCGTCGGCGGAAGCTTCGGCGCCCTTCTACCAGTGAGGGCCGCCCACAGTCGCCAAATCAGAGGCACGACGACCCTGGACAAAGCCCGACCCATTTTAGGAGGGTGTACTCCTCGCATCCCAGGACCAAAGTCCCCCAGTACATCAGCGTCATCGTGACCTACGGCGGTGTGTCATCCCGTCTTCAGATGTTGCCCGACACCGGCGCTGATGCTACAGTCATCGGTCCCCAGCATTTGCGATGCTTGGGGCTCTCTCCAAGCGATCTAGGACCGCCTCCCGAGGACCTCTGCGTCATGGCAGATGGTTCACAGATGGCCCCAGCCCTGGGTTCACTCTATGCACATGTCACCTTTGGCAACAGGTCGTGTCAGGCCTGGATTGACGTGCATAATGGTGTCCCGACTCCCTTGCTGTCCTACAGACATTGTCAAGAGTTGGCCATCATCTCCCAGGACTTCCCAACACCGATTCTCGAGGTAAATTACGCCAACAGGGTGCATGAAGGGAGCAGCAACTACCCTGCTGCCGCCCTACCCCTACCTCTGGCCAGTGACACCTCTCCTTCGGTAGTTGTCCCTGCTGCATCACGTCCCCACGCCTTGGCTCGCCTTCACGACAGTCACCGTGGAGCTGAGGCCACCAAACGACGTGCACGACAGACTGTGTTCCGGCCTGGCATCGACCCCGACATCTCCAATGCTGTCCAGGTGTGTAAGCCCCGCCACGTATTACAACCCAGCCAGCAGCAGGTACCCTTCATGAGTGACGACAACCCCACCCGCCCCTTTGAGTCTGTGTCGGCCGACTTTTTCTGTGTGTCAGGAAAGTCCTTCCTGGTTATCGTCGACCGTCTCTCTGGTTGGCCGGTTGTCATCAAGGGCGGTAATGACACGACGTCTGCCGCCACCATCAGCAAGTTCCGCCACTACTTCCGTGACGTGGGCGTTCCTGTACGCCTGCGAACCGACGGAGGGCCTCAGTTCACAAGCCGGGACTTTGCTGCGTTCCTTGACCGATGGGGAGTCCGGCATGTGTTGTCATCGCCCCATTACCCGCAGTCCAACGGCCACGCTGAGGCTGCTGTCAAATCTTTGAAGCACCTCATCCTTAAGGTGGCCCCTTCTGGGAATATTGACTGCGAGGCCTTCGACCGGGGTCTTCTTGAACTCCGCAACACACCTAACTACACCGGACGCTCCCCTGCCCAGGTTTTGTATGGACGCCCCCTTCGTTCTTGTGTCCCTGCTCACCCTCAATCCTTCTCCAAGGAGTGGCAGGCTAAGACAGAGGATTGTGATCGCCGAGCCGCCGAACGTGTTCAGGACGTCGTCGCCCGCTACAACGACCACGCCCGTTCTCTCCCCAGGTTGAGTGTCGGTACCCAAGTCCGTGTTCAGGACCCGACCTCCCTACGTTGGGACAAAGTAGGCGTAGTCATGGGTCTCGGCAGGTCACGGGACTACCAGGTGCGGTTACCCAGTGGTCGCGTGTGGTGGAGGAACCGCCGTTTTCTCCGCCCCGTAACACTGCCTTCTGCTGGCCCCGCCACCAGTGTTGAGTCCCACACCCTTCCCAGTGATGAAGTCCCTCGACGCTCAGAACGGATCCAGAAGAAGAGGTCCGCTCAAGACTTTGCTATGAGCGTATAGGGGGGAGGGAGGTGTATGTATATTATGTATGCTGGATTATGTATTATGTATGTATATTATGTATGTGCTCCATTTATATTTATTCAGCCTAGCTAGCAGCGTGTGGCAATGTTATTACCATATCCCACACGCTTAATTAATGTGCCTGGCGACGTATGGAAGCTGCTAATGTATCACTTGCCATACGTCGTCT